ATAGTTTACAAACCAATCGATTTTACTTGCTTATTTAGATCTGCATTTCATTTGCTTTACTTCGATATTTTGCTTGTTTCATTTGCCTGTCATTCGATTTTCTATTTTCTCTTTAGGATAGATTTATTTGCTTTCTTAAGTTTTAGTTTAATCCGTGACAACAACCAACCTCTAAAACCAATCTAGTCTAGACATAAATTTAGAAACCGTCGAAGAATTCTAGGCACAGAAATCTCTGTGGATTCGATCCCTAAATACTACAATTGATTAGTTGTGCACTTGCGGCTTTCATTTGTTTTTATTAAGGGTAAAACTTGTTCCCTCACGCAGTAAACACATCACATCACCCGGCGCCGTTTCCGGGGATTTGTTTCGCTGCCTTTGTTATTTTTCTTGTTCTAATTTCTGTTTTAGACACCTGATCCCTAGTTCTTTCTTAAAGTATGCTGAATTATCTTTCCTATCTTTTGTTTTTCTCTGAATTGCATGAATACCTGGCGCAGACCTGTAGAAAACATTCCAATTCTAGACGAGATAGACAGACACGAAAGAGAACATCAAAGACTTAGACGAACGCAAGGAATGGGAAACGACGACCAGCCTGGAGATCCTGTTAACCAAGCTTTAAACATGGACCAAGATGGGTCCGAACATGGAGAAAATGAAGAGAACGATCACAAAGAAGGTGATCATGCTTGATAAGATGGAGAAGAGAATGAGGTTCCTCCAAGAAACCATCAAAACCGCGAGAGAGAAGAACGTGAAGACCTTTATGCACCTATCAATGCAGCCGATGGTGACAACCAGGAGATGCAGCCAAATGGACGCGTTAACCGCCCTGTTCAGCAAGCAAATCAACACCAAAGACAAGCCAGGAACCATCGCATAGCTGATTTTGATGCACCTACTTAGAATTTTCAGAACTGATCCGCAATTCAAGTACCATTTCCGAACCGGAATGAGTTTGAAGTCAAGCCTCAAATCATCTCTTTGGTGAAACAAAACCAATTCCATGGAGTTCCTTCTGAACATCCAATGGATCATATCGAGCTCTTTGAAGAAATCTGCAGCATGATGAGGACAAACCAAGTTCCAGCAGACTATTTAAAGTGTAAGTTGTTCCCTTTTTCATTAGCAGATAAAGCTCACCGTTGGTTGAAATCTTTGCCAGCAGGATCGATTACTAATTGGGAAGAATGCAAAACTGCTTTTCTGAACCACTTCTATACTAAGTCAAGGTCGAACTTGCTGAGAACCAAGATCTCAAGCTTTCAGCAAGGACCGACTGCACCTTTCTATGAAGCCTGGGAATGTTTTAAGGAGTATGAACGTGACTGCCCTCACCATGGATTTCTCGGATCAAGCCTGCTGAGCACATTTTATCGAGGTTTGCAACCAAAATACAAACTTTTGCTTGATACAGATAGCAATGGAGATTTCAGACAAAAGACGATAGCACAAGGAAGAGCCCTCATCAAAAAATTTGGCTCAAGCCAATAGCAATGATTGTCCTGAATACGATTGCTTGACAAAGCAAACCGGAACAGACAACAAGGAGATAACCAAGGTGAAGAACATGATGAGCCAGCTTTTGAAAAGCAACAATCGCCCAATCCATGCTTGTGAGACCAACAATGGTGCAGAAGACGAAGGACCTAGTGATATCGATCACATTAATCCAGCCTTTCAAGAAGAAGAAGGGAACTATGTAGGGGCACAGGCGCCATATCCAAATCGTTTCACCAATGGCTTCAACAACAATTTCCGGAATGCAAACTACAACAATCTCTCTTACTGCAATCCAAATGTGGAGAATCCTCAAGATCAGCACTACCCACCGCAGCAAAGATCCTTCTAAAACAAGTTCCAAGGTGGAAATTTCGGAGGACAGGAGCTTATCAGTCGTGACAACCATATAACTATCAACTTACGGGTTTTAAAAATCAATTTGTACAACAGCAAGGAGTCAAAACGAATCAGCTAGCTTCGCAAATCGGAAGACTTGAACAGTCCATCCAACAGCTTGTTATGACAAACGAGAAAGCATCTAAAGACATGAACGTGAAGGTTGACTGCATGTACAATGACCTGAGCGGGAAGTTTGAAGCTTTATCTTCGCACGTCAAAAATCTAGACGTACAAGTTGCCCAAACAGCCAATTCTATGAAGAGACAAAGTGGAGCTCTTTCCGGAAGAGTTGAAGATAACTCCAAGAGATTTTGCAATGCCATAACTGATAACACCGTATTTTGACCACTTTTATGGATCGTTTTGAAATACTTTTTCTGTGTTTTTAATTGCTTTTAAGTACTTTTATCACGTTTTTCTAGTATTTGTAGTTCCCAGACTCTTTTCAGGTAACTCAGGGAAAAGCTTAACAAAATGGATAGAAAACCAGATTTCAGCTCAGAGTCAAACCGTCAGAAGTTCACCCCTGATTGAAGGCCTTCTCACCGTCTGATCCAGCTCAAATTTGGAGACTTTAAAAATGGAAGTATCATCTTTCCAATGCACTTTACAGCTTGGCAATCCAACGGTTCAATCAAAAGATACGCGAAGAGCAAGATGTCCCGTAAACCAGCTGGCCAGCACTTCCACCCGCGGCCAACAAGCATTTTCCCACGGTCAGGAGCATCCCGACCGCGGCAAACCACCCATTCCCCGCGGTCAGAGCACTCCCGACTGCGGCCTTCAACCTCAGAGCCCAAAAAGCACATTTCTGAACCCCACATTTAGAGAAACCCTAAGTGACGTCCAGAGAGGTCTTGAGCACTATAAATACATGTCTTAGGAGCCCTAGAAATCGTGTAACCTAGTAACCTCATATCATCTTTCAAACTTTTATTGTTTTTTGCTTTAGCTTTTAGGGAGAGAGAGATTTGTTCTCTTGAACCCTTGTTCTTTCTTTATCAATTTCGGTTTCTATTCTACTTCTTAATATTATGTCTTTGATTTCGTTCATTATGTCTGAGTAGTTTTATTGTTGGGATTAAGGGATTTTTCGATGGGGATATATATGTTCGGTGAGGATTCCATTGGCTATTGAGCTGAATCTTAGAACTTTTTCTTCTGAATTCGTTTTTACTGCATGAGAGTAGCGTCATGAACTACAATCTGATCCAGATGCTTGGTGACACGAAAGTGTTCATCCGGTATCAGATCTAGTTTTGGAGAGCAAAACAAACATAGGAGTGGAAACCTACCTATGGGCAATTTGTGAATTAGGACGAGTCTTAAACATAATGCATCTCTTCTCTTCCAGGGCCAGCGTGGAAACCTACTAGTCAGGGTTGAGAGAGATAGTTGTCTATGATCACGACAGTGGCGTATTCATACGTCCGTGACTCCAGTTCGAAAAGTTTAAGCTAAGATCTTACAAAACTTCCTCTCTAGCATTGTTTTGAATCGTTTGTACCCCTGAGAAAACTTCCCTGAAGCCCAACGTCTTTTCTCCATTGATTTACACCGATTTTTCTTTAAGCTTTAGTTCAATATTGTCTTTCCTTTTTAGTTCATTTTCATTTAAGCATTAGAATATCCGTTTTTATCATTTTTAGTTATTTTCGTTAAGTTTAGTTATTACGCCATTTAATTTCCGCACTCTCTTTTAATATTTCGTTTTTACATTTTAAACACACCACCAAACCCCCACAAAACCGTTTTTGTTCTAGACTTCCTTACTTTAACTTATTTCAAAGGCTTTTTGCAGCAAAAGATCCTCCTTCTCTGTGGATTCGATCCCTAAGTACTACAATTGATCAGCTGTGCACTTGCGGCTATTGATTTCAATTAGGGTAAAACTTGACAACCCTCGACACCACACATCAAGTCACCATCAATAACCACGCTGCCCAAAGAAGAAGCCAGAACCGATGGAAAAGATGAAGAAACCCCAATCTTTAATCCAATCTACAAAGATGTCGATGTCAAGCAGCCACCATTCAAGGTACCTCAACGTTCACCGTTTCAAAGGCCTACAAAAGCCGACGACCCGGGACGTTTTGTTTTCCAATGTTTCATTTCAGCAATCAAGTTCACAGACTGTCTATGCGATTCCGAAGCCAATGTCAACATCATATCAAAGACATTTGCCAAAAAATTGGGCATAAAAACTTTAAGGACATCGACAGTCAAGGTTATCTTTGGAGATTCATCTAAAATAGATACTGAAGGGGCGATTCACGATCTACAAGTTCTAGTAGGGGACAAGATTGTTCCAGCATATTTCCAAGTCCTGGAAATGGATCAAGATAAGGAGAGACCACTCATATTCGGGAGACCATTTCTAGCTACTGTAGGAGCAGTAATCGATCACGCAAACTGGCATGCTGTCTTCCTCAATGTAGATCGCAGAAGGTTTTTTCCGACTGTCCTAGACGATTTTCCAAGTAAAGAAAACCGGCCAAAAGAGAAAGAAAAGGAGAAGCCGAGAGCTTTTGCAAAGACCAAGATCATCATTCCACCAGAAGCGACAGAGACTAGTGAGGACCAAATCCAGGAGCTGATCGAGAACACAAAAAGGGTTTTAAACAATCTAAAAGTCCGAAAGAAGAGTAAAGGAAAGAAGACGGCTCCTCAAGGAGAAGAAGTTAAACCTCCAGCAACCGGAAAATGATAAAGGCACATCAAGTGGAGTGCCATTTAAATCAGCCTGATTTTTCATGCCTACGTCGAGCTTAACGGCTTAAAACAAAAAGCGCTTAATGGGGGGCAACCCATTTAGGTACTCTTTCTTTTAATTTTCTTTTCTTTTTTACAATTTATGCTTTCATCTCGCAGTGCGATGCCGTCCCACCAACGATTCTTCAATGGTTCTTAAGATGTTCAAGACCATCATCTTTCCTCGATTTGGAGTGCCTAGAATTGTTATAAGTGATGGTGGTTCTCACTTTATTAACAAGATTTTCGAGAAACTCCTCAGGAAACATGGAGTTCATCATCGAGTTGCAACCCCTTATCACCCTCAGACGAGTGGATAAGTCGAAGTCTCGAATCGTCAGATAAAGGAGATCCTGGAGAAGACAGTGGGTAAAACTTGGAAGGATTGGGCTGCGAAGTTGGACGATGCACTCTGGGCATACAGCACAGCATTCAAAACACCTCTAGGCACCACACCTTTCCACCTGCTCTATGGAAAGCCCTGTCACCTTCCAGTGGAGATCAAACACAAAGCAGCCTGGGCGATAAAGCTGATGAATTTCGACATCAAGTCTGCTGCAGAAAGGAGACTGATACAGCTGAATGAGTTGGACGAAATCAGACACCATGCCTATGAGAATTCGAAGCTGTACAAGGAGAGGACTAAGGCGTATCACGATTCGAAAATCCTCTCCAGGCAATTCGAACCGAATGATCAGGTACTCCTGTACAACTCTCGTTTGCAATTGTTTCCTGATAAACTTCGTTCTCGATGGTCAGGTCCTTTCATAGTCAAAGAGGTTCGCCCCTTTGGTGCCATCGTCCTCCTCACACCAGATGGTAGCAGGGAATTCACAGTGAATGGACAAAGGGTGAAACACTACTGGGCCAAAGCTGAGATTCCACATCGTTCCTCTGGATGGTGCACCTCCTGCCTTAATCACCATCAAGTCAAACTAATGACTTTAAACAAGCGCTTGGTGGAAGGCAATCCACTGGTGAGTCTGTACATAAGTCTTTTTGTTTCAGTTGATTTTCGTTTTTCTTTTTTGTGTCTCAGGTGAAACAGAGGCTGGTGTCGAGCGACAACACCTTCGGTGTCGCTTGTCACTTGCTTCTATTCAAAAAAAAAAAAAAAAAAAATCAGGAAATCAGGTAACCGGAGTCAAACCAGAAATTCGGATTGGTCTGCTGCAATTTGGTACGAAGAGAACAAGTGTCGAACGACACCATCATAAGTGTCGCGCGACACCATCATTGCAGCCAGGTAAGTTCTCCGTTTTTCCTGTGTTTTTCTGTTTCTTTTCTTTTGTTTCGCCAACTTCGGACTCGATAACACTGGGGGACAGTGTTGTTCAAGTCTGGGGGAGGTAGTTGCTGACATTGTGTTTGTTTTTCTTAAGAGTCAGTTGTGTCAAAATGTTTTTGAGTCAAAACCTGTTGGAGATTATGATGCTTTTCCTGGAATTATTGTGCTGACCTTTCATCTAAGTGACCACTGCTGCAGATTCAGTCTAGATCCGACTAATGAAAAATCCAAAGGCTATCCAGTTGACTAGAGGCGTCCATGTCTCCAACAGAATCCACTAACCTGAGCTAAGTTCTGAACTTCACTTTTAACTCGTTGATGTGACTAATGCCTTAGAGCTTGATTCCTCGTTCGTACTTGATCAATGAAAGCCTGTGTGAAATTTAATGTTGGTGTTTCTCTCCCTGTGACGAGCTAAGAAAAAATGAAGAAGAGAAAAGAAAAGGGCGAAAAGATTGAGATGATTTTCGCTTAGGAGTGAAGGGCTAGGAATGTTTCCAATGATCCCATTATTTCACTTCTAAGTTGGAATGATCACACAAAGGAAGGAAGTGAGGGGTAGGAAAGTTTCCCATGACCCCATTATTCGCTGAAAACCTTTGATACAAGGTAAGGGGACAACTCGGGGACTCGATGGCAAACACCATCAGTACTCGCAGCTTTACCCTTATCGAGTATATGCCATAAAAAGGAGAAAAGAAAAAGATGATGAATGTGCGAAAAGAATAAGTCTGGGGGAGAGAAAAATACCAAAGTTTGTATGGCTGATTTGTTTGAGTATAGTACGGGAAAGAATCTAGAAGGTTCTTGGCATCTGAATCATCAGTGAGATCCAGCGATGAGGGTTTATGGACAATGTTGTGAAATTTTGGACTTAATCTGGGAAGCTGTGAATGTCAGTGGAGAAGTACATGGTGGTTCGATTTGGAATGATGAAGCAGTAGTTGAGTTGCAAGGTAATCGGTCAAAAGCGATGTTCCAATGAAAGGTTGAATCTCTGTGTTTTCAAACTTCTTTCTCTTATTTGGTGTTCTGTTTGCTTGAGGGCAAGCAAATGCTAAGTCTGGGGGAGTTGATATATCAAGGTTTTTATGATTTTTAACCATGGTATAAGTCTTATTTATAGAGTCTTTTTAGTGTCTTTCGAGTCTTTTGGAGTCTTTTCAGGTCATAGGTACGTTTGGAGCTTAACTGGAGACTTTGGAGCACTTTGGAGCTTAATCAGGATCAAATTCGTCAAGTATAGATTTTGTGCTTTAGTGTCGCTCGACACCATGGAGAGTGACGCTCGACACTTGTCAAAGAAATAAGGAAAAGGCGATTTTGTTTCCTATTTGAAGAAGGAGTTGGGCCCAAACGTTTCCAAGAAGGCCCAAGACGTGTCTTAGAGATATATATAGGATTTTTATTCCCTTTTTACGATCACCTTAGATTTTTGAGAGATAGATACTTTGAGTTTTTGGATTTTGCGATTTCTGAGCTTGGGGAGACAAGTCTGAACTCTGTTCGTTTAGAGAGAAGATTTCGAACCCCTTTATCTATTTCGATTTAATCTATTGCTTTCTATTCATCATGTTTGTTGTTCCAATAATCATGTCTGAGTAGATCACCTGTTAGGTTTAGGGTTTAATTAGGGTTTTCTTTGAATGTTTGATTAACTTGCTAGTTAGGGTTCATATCTATTTGTTCTTCATCTTAGGTTGTTCTTAATGCTAATTCTGGATTGATCACCTAAAACTTAGATCTTAGGTTGCTTAATTGACACGGAAGTGTAATTTAATAACTGGAAAGAACCTAGGTTGAGCAAAGTAGCTATTCGCAAAGGAATTTGGTTTAGATACCTTGTGAACATATCGAACTTGTGCATTAAGGCTGGTTTAAATCTGTAGGATTTGCAAAGGAATTTGGAATTCTAGGATTTTAACTTAGATAATTCTCACAACGGAAGTTGGTTAATTATAGATCTGTGTTTCGAGTTCAAGAACCGAGCTTAATAACTGAACCCTGATTAGTTAAGTTGATCTGCATTCATTGATCTCCTGAAAACGCCCTAGACCTAGTCTTTATCCAATCGAACTTACAACCGTTTTTACTGCTGCTTAATTTACTTATGTCGCATTGCTGTTTACTTCCTATATTTCTTCTTAGCGTAACTCTATCTCTACAAGGTTTATTGAGTGATCTCTTGTCTCTGTGGTTCGACCCCTAGATACTACAACTGCACATCTGTGCTCTTGCAGAGTAGCTTAGGTATTAAACTTTGAGCAGATCACATATCTGGCTGAAGAAAGAGAAGACAAGAGAGAAGTGATGCTTTTGATTGATCCATCATCGGCCAAAAAAGAGATCAGGGAGTGTCACGACCCCGGAAAAGTCTAATCGAGCAACAATGTAAGCTAACGACTTAAAGCAAGCGCTTAGTGGGAGGCAACCCACTCGGTATTTTATTTATTTCCCTTTGCCCTTTAATTTCTATTTTTGTTGCTTTGTTTTTTTGTTTCATTTAATTTCACTTTTACAAGAAGAACGATTAAAAGACGTGCAAAGATCATAAACCGGAGAAGAAACAATAACCGCGATTACATAGAGATCAGCCCCGGAACATCCCTTTTCGACCAAGGTTCAAGAGGTTTAGACCAGCGGGCAGGTTTTTTATAGCCACGGTAACATAGTTCTACGAATGACATTCTCCGGCACGATAAGTACACTTAAAAATTTCTATTTTTTATTTTCTTTACCATACCTTCCAAGATTTATCACACTGAGGATAGTGTGAAATAAGTCTGGGGGAGGATGTTCATCCGTTACTAACGAAATTTGATTTGTTTTGAGTTTGTTTTGGACACACCAAGTTTTTCACAAAATTTTTCAAAAGGTTTTTCAAAACAAAAAAAAGTTTTCAAACCAGGAACATAAAAAACAACACTATGATGATTTAGACCAGTGTGCTTCTATGTTATTTCCTCGTTTTTTGCTCTTTTGTGATTTAGGCCTATACTAGGCGGTAGCTAGAATACTTACACTACGAATTCCCACCAAAGGACTTCTATTCATGGAAAATCTTTCTGACTGTATATACTAGCTCATTTTATCTGGACTTAATTCTGACTTAATTTTCTCATTAAAGCATTAGATCAGGAAAACTAATCATACATGTAGGACTCCTTTTCCCCTTTACCACTCTTTGTTGATCCTGAATGACTAGTTCATCTTTAGCTAGTTCCCCAACCTAACCTATCTCAAACCACATGCATTCTTGTTTTTCATTGTCTTATATGCAGATATGTGCAAAAATGTCAGAGTGAAAGAGAACCAACGCGGTTTTCAGTCACTGAAGACGGAGACCTGCGATTTCATTGGAATGATTCAACAAAAAGAGAAAACTCAGTTTGCTTTGGAAAAACTTCAAAATCTTGGTACAATCTCGTCCCTCAGACTCTCTCTCTATAAGAAAAATATTATAGAAGAGAAAAGAAATTTAAAACCTTAGAGAGTCTAAAAGGATCAAATTTTATCCTTGAGGCAAGCTAGAGTCTGATTATATGGAGTTTTGGAGATTATCTTTCTGATTTCTCGGAAAAGATCTAAATCTGGGGGAAGTAACTGTTCACAACAAAGGAGGAAGGACTATGCAACAACATTTAGCAAGGAGAAGTGACTGAAAATTGCGGATTTCAACAGGTCAACTATCTCTTGCGATTTTCCATCATATCTTGTATCTTCCAGATTCTTCAGTTAACCAGAAACACTTCTACTCCCCCACTTAAGCAGTCAATAATGTCAAACGCCGTCTACCCTGAATAATGTCTTTGATGAGAATTCACTATAACACTTAATGAATGTAGAGAGCTAGTTGACTGGAAGTTAGATCTAAGTGTGTAGATTTTCTCATGACGGATTAACAGAATAGTTTTGCTTGTATTTTGGTGAGAATTTTCCAGACTAGATATAAATAGATGTTGTTTAGTTCCTGAATTTTTTTTTATAATAATAAAAAAAAATCTTTCCTGACTTGATCTAAGTTTGTTTGAGGACCAACAAAGGTTTAAGTCTGGGAGAGTTGATAACGCCGTATTTTGACCACTTTATGGATCATAATGATGTCTTATGCAGATGTTTTAACTCTGTTTTCAATGGTTTTTAATGTTTTTCAATGTTTTAGAGTTTCAAAAGACTTTTTAGGAAACTTAGGCAAAAGATAAGCAATTTGGAATAAATAAGCAATTTTGGATAAATACAGACCGTCAGAAGTATGACAAGCGATGAAGACCTTCTCACCGTCTGATCACGCCCAAAATTTGAGACAGCATAGAGGATACAACCAGATTTCTAATTCACTTGGTTTGGAGACAATCCAACAGTTAGATCTTCAGATACTCCCGATACAATAAAGACAGAAAATACAATCTTAGAAGGAAGACACAAGCCGGGACCGCGGCCAAGCTATATTTCCCCAAGGGTACAAGCACCGTGACCCCGGCAAGACAAACTTTCACTTCCCAGACGACTTAATTCACGCCCATGTCGATTCCCTTTATTATTTTTGAATCCCTAAGTCTCCAAGACAACTACAGAAGCTATAAATACCCCCTTTAGGTCATTCTAAAGGGGGAGAGAGTCTGTGTATGAGTTTTACAAAACCCTAAGAGAGTAGCCGTCAATTTTGAAGAAGGAGCCGCCGAGGGAGAGCATCATCGCGCCTCCATCTGCAACTCTGTTCTTTGTTTTTCTTCCTTAATCTTTTTAATTTCCAGA